CTCACCTAATCTATCAAGCTGAATATTAAGGAGAATGGGGTGATGATCTGTAAGGTCGCTCTTCAAAATCACAGCCCTAACCTTTTCAAAAACATTACTCTTACATTTAATAAAAAAGTGATCCAAACAAGTCCCACTGTTATCAGTAATTCTTGTTGATTTATTAATTGCACTCATTAACCCATAGCCTTGCAATAAAGTCAAATAGTTATTTGTTGTATCTGTTTCCCTATCTAAGAGATCAATATTAATGTCCCCAGCAAATACATAAACCTTGTTCCGATCAGTGATGGAACGTTGAAATATTCTTCCTAGACTATCAATGAGTTCATCCTTTGAAATACAAAAACACCTATACGTAGCTAGGAGAACAACCGTTGTATGATTTTTTTGCAAAGTGACACTAATAATCTTTAAATTATTTTCTTGAATTATTTGATTTGTAATATGATATTCATTTTTAACAAAAATTATTGATCCATCACATCGATTAAGACTACTTTCGTTAAAGAATATTTTGTACCCAGGAATGTTAAAATCGTCTATATTGTATACATAGTGTGTTTCTGACATAATTATAACATCGAAAGATTTACTTAATGATTCAAGATACACCAAAAATTGGTCAAAATTTTGATAAATACTACGTATGTTTACATGCATAAAATTAAGGTCGCTTACAGAATTATCAAAGAAGCCTACTTGACATAAGTTATCACATATGTTGTAAGTGTATGTTTGGGTCAATAAATTACCCGAAATATTTCCCAAGTATATTGTTGGCTACAATTTTCGAATTTTCAGATACCATGCGTAACAACGAAGATATCGACCAAGCTCATACTAAAAACTCACCCGGTATGTTTATGAGACTTAATTATTCTGGTACAGTCAGAATGACCTTTGCATTCCTAATCATAACATATCCTACTTTCACTCTTCGAGTGTACACCGACCAGTGATAATGTTGTGTTCAAACTTCAAAAAATAACATCCAATATTTCCTATTATCTACTATCAGTTACGTATTGTTGTGTGTTGAAATGAACAAGTGTTCCGTATTAGTGAAGAAGTGTTGTCATTTGAGTTGTTTGCGACGGTACGACTTCTCAAATCAGGTACTACCTAATAGATCAAATAAAAAAATCCGGATTATCAGGAAAAACATCAATAAATGATGTCCTATTTAGTACTTTGATATTTAAATTTGGCGCCATTTTTTAAGGCTTGACCTAGGAATTTGAGCATGTGATATGGTTTACAAACACGACAATTTAATTATGGATCGTTTAAATGAGAAAGGTGCGCATCAGAATTGTGCGAACGTGGAATGTTAAATGCTTACGACCAGCCTTACCTTAGGTATGGGCTTTTCGTGGTCTCGCTTGCAAGGTATGCATCCAAACAGTATGTTCTTTCAACAAGATTGGGCCATGTGACATATGGCGAGGAAAGACATACATTTTCTTGTCTTAGAAATATTAAAGTCACCAGAGGCTTGATTCTAAATGAGTTTCAACCGTTGAAATTAATTCGACGGCGACTTGTGACGATACATTTTATTCGCTACGGTAATTTTGACAACAGATTATATCGATCTTCTATATTCAAATTATCGTGGCAGTGTCAAAATTCTCATAGCGAACATTTTGAATATACAGGGTGTTTCAGTTTATTGTTGCATAACTTTAAGATTCGATAGAACTTTTAAAATTAATGCATAAAGTCTATATAAACATGGGTCGAAAAATGCGTGGCTTCCGAAATACAGGGTGTTTAAATTTACTTTTTAAAATAGTTTTTTTTTAAATATTTCGAACAATATTTGATGTATAACAGTGAACATTGGTATACAAGGGTTTTTTGGTACGACAAAACGAACCATGGGCATAGCTTTACTGTAGCCGCTAGAAGGCGCTCTATAATGTACCTGTAGTGTATTAAAATGACCGAAAAATTTTTCTTAGTGCAATTTTTTTCTTTTTGAATAAAAAAACTGATTCTTCGCACTTTTCTGTATAAAAAAGCTCTGCTGTGAGTTTTCGTTATAGTTAGCCGTTTTTGAGATATTTCGATTTTTAAGGTTCGATGCATTTTTAATTATTTATGGGAAAATAATATTTTTTTTACATTTTCGATTTGGGCATTACAAGTAATTAAGATGATCGTTTAGATTGTGTTTTTAAACACAGCAATAATTCCTAACTCCAAATAAACACAAAAAAACAGAATATTAATTTGTTTAAATTTCCAAATTTTATTTTTAACAAATTAAATTAATTATTTACAACTAAAATGCTATTGGATAGTTAGGACAAACATACAAAATCTAAAGTAGTTGCTCGAAATGTAAATCCAATTGTTCAATAAACAATTCAAATCTACGAATGATCGAACGTGGTATAGCATTATTCAAATAAGGCCTTATTTCATCACATGCATTCCTGATTCTGTCTAATAGCATATCTCTTGTGGTTACGGGAGTCTGCTACACTTTTTCTTTTAGAAATCCCTACACAAAGAAATCTAATGGGTTTAGGTCAGGGGATCGTGGAGGCCAGGCGACTGGTCCTCCACGGCCGATAATTTTCATCCAGCCAGTTTCTAACTATTCTCGAATAATGAGCTGGACAACCATCAAGCTGGAACCAGGCCAATCTTCTTAAATCTAACATAACATCATCCCACATATTTGCGTGTTCAGCCTTTAAAAATTCCAAGAAGGTCGCAGCATTTAACCTTGCAGGCAAAAGGTAGGGTCCAAATAGTCGATTACGGTAGATACCAATCCACACGTTCACACTAAATTCATGCTGACAATTTCTTTCCCGAACTGCATGCGGATTTTTATGCGACCAAATATGTTGATTATGAAAATTTACCACTCCACGTCTAGTGAAGCATGACTAATCGGTCCATAAAACTTTACTTAAAAACTCCCTATTATTATCAGTTCTATCAAGAATCCACTGACAAGATGTGATTCTTCGTTCTCCGTTCCCTGGCTGTAGTCCTTGCACAGGTTGCAAATGGTAAGGACGTCTATGGTCATTTCTAAGACCACGGTGAACATGGCTTGCTGAAATTCCCAAGGTACCAGAAACTCTCCTAACACTTGTGGTCGCATCTCTATCAAACTCACGCAGAATCATACGGGTAAATCTGCGCTGACGAACATTTATGTTTTGATTCCTTTGGAGATTTCCAAAACCATTTTCAATTATTTGGCGATGCACTCTTACAAATACTGAGCGAGTTGGATGTCGTCTGTTTGGAAATCTTCGTGCGTATTCTCTGGCTGCTTCTGCTGCGTTTCCATTTACAAAGCCATACACAAAATGAATATCCGCTAACTCTTGATTGGAGAATAAAAATGGCATTTTTATAAAACTTACAAAAAAAAAACAGGTAAAAGAAACTAAATTTCGTGCATTCACAATTGCAAAAAAACGTTTCAGATTTCAACAGACAACAAAACTAACTGTCAACTAATTGACGTTTAACCTTATTCTGCTTTCAATTTCAAAAATATTTGCAGGCACAGCCTACTTCTAAAAATTATCGAGATACTGACTTTTTAACGTTATTTTATCATAATTAATTAAAAACCGGAAAATCTCAAAAACGGCTAACTATACCGAAAATTCACAAGAGAGCTTTTTTATGTTGAAAAAAGCGAAGAATCAGTTTTTTTATTCAAAAAGCAAAAAATTGCACTAAGAAAATTTTTTCGATCATTTTAATACACTACAGGTACAGTAGAGAGCGCCTTCTAGCGGCTACAGTAAAACTATGCCCATGGTTCGTTTTGTTGTACCAAAAAACCCTTGTATACCAATTTTCACTGTTATACATTCGAAATATTTAAAAAAAAACTATTTTAGAAAGTAAATTTCAACACCATGTATTTCGGAAGCCACACATTTTTCGACCCATGTTTATATAGACTTTATGCATTAATTTTAAAAGTTCTATCGAATCTTAAAGTTATGCAACAATAAACTGAAACACCCTGTATAAACAAGCATGTTATTTTATTTAATAACAATAATAATAATAATAATATTTCTTTATTCAACGAATCTTCAAGAGATGAGACATGGAATGCGTCAAGAAACACTTAAAGGACGACACTAAGATAAAAAAACAAGAGGTGTTTCAGTTTTTAAAATAAACGAGAAACTCGACAATGCTGTAAAAGTAGCCATCGAATAAAATGTTTCTTAAATTTCGTTAAATATTAGACAGCGACGTAACCTCACGCATGTCGGCTGGAATCAGGTTAAAAAGTATACATCCAGCATACACTGCAGTCTTTTTTCTGTTTTGTTTGCGCCAAGAATGGATGAGAGCATTTTGGTACACACGCTAGAACTATCATCTCTTTATTAATATTTGACCTATTTTCAAATGCCATATAGTTATCATTTATTTCTTCTATTTTGGAAGCTATGAAGTCGACAGGTTCAATATTTACGTTGAAGCGAAAACCATCAAGGATGCCATTTTATTGGCGGCATGTGCTTAGAGATTATCAATATTTTCATTGCAAACAGCATTATACGTACTAAGATTTATTATATTATTAACGCAGATATCAGTTTTTTTCATTTTAAAATTTCTTGAGATTGCTGACAAGAAACTTCTACAAACATTGTATAGTGTAAACATTTACAATATATTTAATCTTCCATATTTATTTTCATTGCTTACATTGATACTAGTTATGAATTGGGATGACGTCACAGAATGTTTAACTTTAATATTGTATTTTGTAATTTCAATAAATCCAAATCGAAAAAAAATGTTTGGCAAGAACCATTTTTTACCAATCAATTAATTTGGAGGATAGTCAATGTTTAAGCAATTAAAATGACTGAATCTTCCTTTCTGTTTAATAACAGTATTTTTATTACTCCGCATCAAATTTTTTTGGTCATGATCAAAAATACACTACGAAAAAGTTTTCACGATATATTTAACATGCTGAATTGTTGCAGGCCCGAGATGCTCAACTGTTTGACATCAAAGAAAATCATCCAGACGTTCAGCTTACTAGGAAAAGGCCATTCATGGGTCTAAGTTGTCAAAACTGCGTCTTGACGAGTAGGGTAAGTCCGAGATTTCAATAGTTGAGTCCTTTTGAGGTCCCCTCGTAAACATGGAAGAGGCAATAGATACCTCACAAAGGGCACATAAAATTATGGAAATAATCGGTTTAATGAAAATACCTGGATGGAAAAAAATTATTGCCGTTTTTTTTTTCTTTGTTTTTATGGTATTTCGGTCAATTGGCTTTGAATAAATATTCTCACATTTTCTTTAACGTTTCGGATAATTTTGCACTAAATCATCTTTAGAAATTTAATTGTCCTACAATATCACAGCTAGTTGAAAGTTACAACAAAATAAAAGTTTCAAAATCTTACTGTAAAAGTACAGACCGCACAATCCATACTGCTTGCGGGGAAGTAATCCATTGCGAAAAATTTCGTAATTTTTAGATATTACATAAGTTATAATGGGTGATTTTTTTGCTAGTATCCTTTTGGAAACACTGTTTTTGACAGATGACGCGTGAATCGTGTCTTGTGTCATTGTCAAACTTGTTCAGTTTGGTCGATAATTTAATCATGAATCGACTTACGAACGAACAACGCTTGCAAATTATTGAATTTTACTATCAAAATTCATGCTCGGTTAAGAGAGTGCATCTAGCACTGTTTCCAATTTATGGGCAATTTGGTCGGCCTACTGAGGGAAGCTTGTGACTAAATTTCGAACCCAGTTTACCTTATTGGACATTAAACCACCAACACGCAGATGTAGAGTGAGGACTGAAGAAAATATTGCGGCTGTATCCGCCAGTGTTAGTGATGACCTCTGTTACTCCACTACGCGGAAAATTTTGCGACAAGATTTGGGTGTAAAACCTTATAAGATACAGCTGGGGCAAGAATTGAAGCCACACGACCTCCCACAACGTTTCCAATTAGGTGAATGGGCGCTGGCAAAGTTGGAGGAAGATCCACATTTTTATCGAAAAATTGTGTTCAGCGACGAAGCTCATTTCTGGTTGAATGGGTACGTTAACAAGCAAAATTGCCGCATCTGGAGTGAAGACCAGCCAGAAGCATTGCAAGAACTACCAGTGCATCCCGAAAGAATCACTGTTTGGTGTCGATTATGGGCCGGTGGCATCATCGGGCCGTACTTCTTCAAAGACGACAATGGCCGGAACGTAACTGTGAATGGCGAGCGCTACCGTGCGATGATAACAAACTTTTTTTTGTCCAAAATGGAAGAGCTGGACTTGGCTGACGTGTGGTTTCAACAGGACGGTGCCACATGCCACACCGCACACGAAACAATGGCCCTATTGACAGGCGAGTTCGGTGAACAGTTTATCTCACGTTTGGGGCCCGTCAATTGGCCGCCTAGATCGTGTGATTTAACGCCGTTGGACTATTTCTTGTGGGGCCATGTTAAGGTTAATGTCAGGGATAAACCAGCAACGATTGACGCACTGGAAGCCAGTATTGAAGCATTTATTCGTGAGATACCGGCCGATATGTTGGAGATAGTGTGCTAAAATTGGACCTTGCGCATGGGCCATCTAAAGCGGAGCCGCGATCAACATTTACATGAAATAATCTTTAAACATTAAATTATATCGACCGTTCTATCGACTCAAATAAAGATTTAATCGTTTATTCAAATTATTTTTTTTTAAATCAATTCCTGTACCTCTTAAAAAATCACCCGTTACTTACATTGATGTATTTGGTATCAAGCACTATTCGGATATAAACAAAACTTGGACACAATGTTACTTTCGCGCTAACGAAGAAAAAAATTTGATTTTGAAAACTTTGATGGTTATGAGAAAATTTTCGTTTTTCGATTATTATCGAGTTTTTAATGATGTTTTTCGGCGTTTTTCAACTTTCTAGTTACTTAAATACAAAAAAAATAATATATTGGGCCCAAAAATGTACGCGAAAGTTCTACAGTAATGATAAAAATCAAGGTGTCTTATAAGAATTGTGAATTTTTGTGATGTATGTCAGTAAAAAATGGTTGTACTGAGGTACCACGAGAGAAATGTTAAAACTTCAAATTTCTAAATATTTTGGATCTAGTAGTGAAACATTTTGAAGCTGCATGTCCCCCGCAATGACTTTCACGGTTCCATATACCCACATTAAAATTTCGCTTTTTTCCATAGATTTTTTTATTGCGAACAATCAAAACTTTGAGAAAATTAGCGAAATACTCTTATTGCTGATGACATAAAATATCTCTCTCTCTCTCTCTCTCTCTCGTAAGGAACCGCTATCGAAAATGAAACGGAAATATGGATAAATACGTTCATACTTTATTTTAAGGAACGTTGCTGATGACATAAAATATATACTGATTGGACCGCCCTCGTATTTATCTGATATTTATTGCAAAATTCAAAAACATCTGAAAACCCTACTACAATAGTATCCAAAATCTGGCTACTTCACCCTACCTATGATGCGCCCATGACAGTTGACATTTGTCCTCCATCTGATAGCGCCTGGAACAATGTAATCCCTGTATTTCTGCTTTTGCCCCTTTATTGCGGACATGTCCCCAATTGTCCTTTGATTTTTATCTAAGTTTCCGCAGGACTACTTTCTTCGCGGTCTTCTCTATATCGCAATGTCGGGTGGGAACTATGGACTAGTTGTATGAGTCAGTTTGACTGACTTTAATCCATTAATTTTTTTATCTATAAATGTCCATAGCTAACTCTTGTCTCGAGAAGCCAAACATAATTCTTCAAACTGATCACGACATTGTTCTGTAAATGCAGAGTCAACCTACTTGCGGCATTGTTTATGTCTAATTTCAACGATCTAGCCATATTCCAGCTTACGAGGGTGGGGTGAAAAGTTTCCGGCCTGACCAAGAAAAACGACGTATTAAAATTTTTTTTTGCTTTATTTTTCGACATTATCTCCATCAATACTGATCATTTCTCGTACCGGTGTTCTAATTTAGTTATACCAGTTTTAAACGTGGATTCGTCAAGCTCCTCAAAATACTGATTTACAGCTTTGATAACTTCTTTGTTGCTCTTAAATCTTTTACCGCCATTTTTTGAGGTTAGAAAACAGGTAATAGTCGCTGGGGGCTAAGTCTGGAGAGTAGGGAGGATGCGGCATCAATTCAAACTCAATTCGTGGATTTTGGACATGGCAATAATCGACGAATGCGCTGGTGCGTTATCGTGATGAAACAAAATTTTTTTCTTCGCCAAATGAGGTCGTTTAATTTGCACCTCGTGCTTCAAACGTTGCAATAACTCTGCGTAGTGATAGTCTTACCGTTTTCAAGGTAATCAATGTATATAATCCCTCGCGCATCTCAAAAAACAGTAGCCATAATCTTGTTTGCCGATAAAATTGTTGTTGCCTTCTTTGGAGATGTTTCCCTTTTCCAACCCACTGTTTGGACTGTTCTTTACTTTCAGGAGTGTAGTGGTGGACCCAAGTCTCATCAACAGTTGTGGATCGACGCAAAAATTCGTTTGGATTACGCCTATACAGCGCCAAATTGTCGGTAGAAATGGTTTTTCGACGCAGTTTTCGAACGAGCGTTAGCAAACGCGGCACCCACCTTGCACACAGCTTTTTCATGTTCAAATGGTTGTGCAAAATATTTCGCACACGTTCAGCTGACATCCTACAGGCCTCAGCTATCTCGTGCACTTTCAACCTGCGGTCTTCCAACACCCATTTTAAATTCAGAAACCCACTGCTTAATAGTTGAATATGATGGGGAGGATTCTCCTAGTGTTGAATCCATCTCGTCTTTTATTTGTTTTGGTGTAAAACCTTTCAAATAGAAGTATTTGATGACAGCATGTTTTTACAATTTTTCGTAGCAATTGGGCTGGAACTGTACATACAAGGTTGGTAGGAATGGTTCTATACGACGCCACTCCAAAAGTAGACCTAGTGTCGCCATCTCTTGGTCAGGCCGGAAACTTTTCACCCATCCCTCGTATTTTGAATGACTCTACTGAAATTTCATTTTGCTTGACAAGGTCCTTTGTACGCGCATCTATCCTCACGCCTCAGACGCTTATTTTTAGCTTTTTTGTTTCCGTCTCGACGTTCGAGCAATGCTTTAGCAGCCTCTAGAATGTTATAGGATGAGGTGGCGTGGTTTAGCAGACACCAATCAGGGCAAAGTAAGTGGACTATCTCGTAAGGAACCGCTATCGAAAATATGGATAAATACGTTCATAGTTTATTTTAAGGAACGTTCGAGTTGCTAATTTTAGTGTTATAATGGCTATGCGTCGTTTATTTTTATTTAGTTCGTAGAAAGGTACGATTGTGCTTTGTTACATGCGATAATTCACTGAAATATGTGACCCGTGATAAAGTTATTTACTTTTTTGCGTATCTCACAGCATTTTAAGGTTTTGCTGGCAGCATGTTGTAAGATCAAATGTTCAACGTATATTTAAAAAAAATGAGAATTGGGGTCTCTCTTCTCTCTGATGATGGATGGATGTTTATTCAGTCTAGAGTTACCTGTGAATACCCATCAAAAGTTAATGGTTTTTTTTCAGTCCGGCGTCTATAAGGACGCACTACTACCCTTTTAGCCTCTCTATATTTTTCTCTTTCATTCTCTATGCCTTTCTCTATTCCGTAACACCCAACAGGGTCGGTTTTTTAAGACTAGCTGAGAAGTAGTGACACATTCCTGGACTGAGTTGATCAGATCACCTCTTTCAGGACTGTCTGAAAATTTTCTGAGTTAACTTCCATCATGATGGAAAATATATCTAACTCTAAGAATGTCTCAGATGTTTTGAATCAAAGCTTTTTAAGCAGTACATGTCTCACTAACCTCATCTCATTTTACATTGGATTCATTGAGACTTGTTTATGAATATCAACGACATCCTTTCGTGTGCAGTCACAGTGCTAAGTCGATCTGTGCCAGTGATCTGGAGAGAAGAAAACTAGCATCTAAAAGTTATCACTGCTTATACACGCAACAGTCTGGAACAGTTTAATGCGGTACTGTACCTTGTCCAAGAATAAGCGCCTTAGCCACTTAGAGTTTCTGAGAATATATTGAAATATATTATATTTTTTTGCTGGCTTAAATGCTTTTGCCGTAAGATCAGTCAGTTGACCATGACGCGACGAAAAGCCTCATATTCTTGATAATTCGCCCGATTTCCGCCATGACCGACTGGGATTATCTTATGGTAAAGGTATGTTTGTGTAAGACTTTCTTCAAAACACAGACATTTTTGACTGACCATTTTTTTTGTCCGTCAAACGCCAACAAGCGCGAGTTTTGAAATCTCACATGTTCCTGAAAATTTTTGCGATTCTAAAAGTTATGAACTATCATGGTTCAAGTGAACATGTTTTGATGGAAATCGAACTTAATCTTGCAAGTGTTAACTACATAATGTTTCACAATTTGACGCTTGCATCCCATTTGCTATATACTTATCTTTGAGTTCTGTGTATTACCCATAAAGTAAAACTAATTTTGTCACGTACTATTTCAGTCAGTACTTCAACGTCTCACAAACACCTGTTAAAAATAAACTAGATTTACTTGTTGCAAAAAAATTTGGGATTTGCCCTCTTTACCGGTCAACAGAACGCCTTTCTTATTTTTTGACATTTGTTCTCCTAAATCGGCAATTGCCCCACTGTGCGTCGTCTGCTGCATCAGTGCTTCTGAGAACGAATGGAAGAACGGGGGAAACAAATAATATATTATTTAATTATATCCAGTTTCCTCTGGGCTCTTTACCCCCCGTCCTATATCCCCAGCGCCAAAGGGACGATATAACCCACTTTGAAGAACACTAGATTGAGAAAACAGAATTAATGATTCATGGCGACAAAATCGTATGATCGACACTTTAAATTATCTGACAATGGAATAAAAGATGAATGGGTAATTTATAACGATAACAGGCCTGATCTAACCACCAATTACTGTGAACGATTCAACAATACGATGTGTGCCTCTCTTCAAATCGCACCTCGAGATATATGCGGGCACAATTGAAGTAGGCGGTGGTTTAATGGCCAGCGTTTAAACAGTTAGTGTGTTCTGGTTGACAATTTTTCTCTATCTGAAAGGGAAGTGTTGTTGTATTAGGAACTGCTAAGGCGGCAACACGTCTCATGCGTTAATAAATCATCACGCAAACTCACGTGTCGAAATCGTCACTATATGCTATCAGTTGAGCTGATTAGACGTAGGCTATATCGCGAATTGTACCAGTTAAAATAATTCAAATCAATTGGGGCGGTTGTACAATAAGTAATGAGTATCTTACAATTACACTGATCAACAGCCAAAAAATATCCTAAATAAAATCAACAAACTATTACTATTTTTAATGTGCTGAAACCGGAATGAAACTTATTTTTTCAATATTAGTTCAAGTTTTAGAGATACGGTAATTATATGTGTTCCTGCTGTGACAGTGTTAATATACTGTAATTCACAAGAATGCACGTGCTACATTTTTATATTCGGCAAGAAAAGATGATGTTATCGGCATGATTGTGTTACGTTATACATACGTGTACATTATATTTTTTCCTCAGTTGGCTGACAGCGTTCATGCAAGATGTCTCGAAAGTGTGTAAACAATCCAGATCAGTTTTGTTACGTGTGTGGTGATGTGACTTTTGCGTCTCAGAGACGGTCTATTACTCCACTAATAACAAAGGCATATCAGCTTTATTTCGGTTGTAAACTAGGTGATCAAGACAAACAGTGGGCCCCCTACATCTGCTGTAATACATGTGCTTCAAGTCTGGGGAGCTGGTTAAATGGCAAAAAACGGTCTATGCGCTTTGCTGTCCCAATGGTTTGGAGAGAGCCTACAAATCATATTAATGATTGTTACTTTTGCATGGTACCTTGTGTTGGACAAGCCACAGGTATGTCCAAGAAAAACAAAATCGGTTATTAACTACCCAAACATACCATCTGCGATGAGACCTCTGCCTCACAGTGACGAAAATCCTATTCCAAAACCCCCAGAATCCTACACTTTCGAATCAGAAAACGAATCAGATCATGGCGATCGAGTGATTCGTCAGGAAGAAGATATGCCATCAACGTCAAGAGATCCTGATTTTATACCGAGCACGTCATGCCACCAACCGCACAAAATAACACAGTCAGAATTAAATGATCTTGTGAGAGATTTAGAACTTCCAAAATGTTAGATGACGATGTTTCGGTATGTGTTTTTCGTAAACGCCACAAAGACTTAGAACCATTTTTCAATATGGAGAATAACTTGGTTTTCTGCAGTAACATTAACGGCTTACTGGCGGCTTTAAATATAAACTATAACCCAGAAGAATGGAGATTGTTTATAGACAGTTCAACATTGAGTTTAAAGGCAGTGTTATTGCATATTGGAAATATTTTACCATCTCTTCCTGTAGGGTATGCAGTTCACATGAAAGAATCATATGACAATATGAAGTACCTATTGACATGCATAAAAAACGATGAGCACCAATGGCATATTTGTGGCGATTTGAAAGTTGTTGCACTTTTACTTGGGCTGCAGCTAGGCTACACAAAGTTTTGCTGTTTTTTGTGTGAATGGGACAGTCGGGCAAAGGCACTTCATTACACCAGACAAAACTGGCCTGTTCGTCAATTCCTAGAGCCAGGTCAAAAAAATGTGCAGCATATGCCATTAGTAGATTCGAAAAAAATTTTATTACCACCACTGCATATCAAGTTGGGCCTAATTAAAAACTTTGTCAAGGCATTAGATAGAGATGGGTCAGCTTTTCAATACCTGCGTCAGAAATTTCCAAGACTAAGTGAGGCAAAGGTTAAAGAAGGTATTTTTGTTGGGCCACAGATTCGAAATATTTTGAAAGATACACAGTTTGAAAACACTTTAACAGGTATTGAAAAAACTGCTTGGAATGATTCCCATCTGGTGGTCACTAATTTCTTGGGAAATAGAAAAGCTGACCACTATAAAACCCTTGTCAAAAATATGCTGTCATCGTATCAAGAGATGGGCTGTAATATGTCTCTTAAGATACATTTCCTACACTCACACCTGGACTTTTTTCTTGACAATTGCGGAGCCGTAAGTGATGAACACGGCGAACTTTTTGATCAGGATATTTCAACAATGGAAAAAAGGTACCAGGGGGAGTGGACTATTGTTGGACTCTTGTTAGAGATGCTCCAGAAACGATCCATAAAAGAACAGCAAAAAGACAGCGCATATAGTGATTCTTATAAGTATATGAATCTTGTTACTTTTTTTAATATATCCTTAAAAATAAAGTTTTTTTTCTAAACCGCAACTAATTTTTTTATTTCATTGTCATTTTTGGATTCAGCGCCCCAAAATTAACAAAGAAGTGCACTTTTGCCACAAGATACAATTAAAAAACTAAAATTTGTTGTCCAGTGTTATTGATCCTTACTGCCTTACCTTGTGTTGTTTGAAATTTGTAGATAATGTGGATGTTTCAAAAGTTTTATTTCGGACTTCCATGTCTATTCAATTTTTGATATCATGACGTTTCTGTTCGTCTGGAGACGATTCAGGATACATCAGTCGAGCTGAAGATCATTGAAGATACCAAATCGATCGAAACGCCGCGATCTCAAAAATTGTGTAGACAATGGAAGTCCGAAACGAAACTTTTGAATGGAGAATTATACACGAGAAATCTAGGTTGACAGATTCACAGAATCATCAGAGTCACAGGCAACGACAGTAATTCTTATTTTTTTTGTTCCTTCTCCGAGTTTTACGCCTCAACTTTGGATAGCATTTTCGGCCACTTCTCGTTCACACAAAAAAGTGAACACTCGAAATTTGCTTTTTGAAGGAAAAATTCTAATGCGTATTTCGACTAAATTAAAATTTTGAAAAATACTCCTTTCAAAAACACGTCACTATCGAGTTCTTTTCGTCCCACAATATCAACACGGGTGTTCCCCAGGGATGGATCTTGGCTCCGATATTGTCCGTCTTACAGACCAATGGCCTCCTTTCCTGTGCGATCAATCCGATCCACAGCTTTGCTGCTGACAACACTCTAGATGCAGGAATTCATAGTGACAAGCCAATCTCTGCAACTGACTTGCAACGACTTCTTTTCTGACCTGACTTGGGGGATATCACTGCTTGGGGGTGCAAAAATCGCTCAGATAAGACCCAGCCTCGAATGCTACTCACATGTTTGGGGTGCTGCCGCCCTGACTACACTATCCATGATCGATGCTTTTAGAGGAGGGGTGTACGACTGATCGATGATTATTCTCTATCGGAGAGTCTCTGTACCATTTCGCCCAGACTGCAATCTAGCACTCTTGTACCGCTATGTCACCGCGCAACGGCTTTGCCAATCAAACCCTCTTGACTTCGTCCTTCCAGCCTAAATGTGTCGAAATTCGTACATCTAGAACTGGCCGATACGACCGCTTCGTTCTCCCTAAGGTATCGAGATTGGGGTAGCTTTTTTCAGTTCTACTAACTTTTCTAACCAGTTCCAAACGTCTCTTTAAGCTTCTCATAGCAGCCGCGGTGCCCTGATATTTAGGCTTTTTCCTACACGGCTGCTTCGGTAAATAAAAAATCAAAATTCAAATCTTGCTTATTTTTTTCAGGAGTCGCTGGTGAGTCGCACCACAGAATCATTAGCCCTCCGAAACATCCTGGACTATCAGCTACCTCAAAACAAAAACGGCCTTCTCCAAAGAACGCTCTCTCACTTTTATCAAGTATACGAACTGAAAAAGTACGACTTTCCGCAAGTAGCTGATTTGGTACTCAAAGATGACAGGCTCAAAAAAGCAGTTGAAAAAATGGCGCTGCAACAGTTCAAGGACTCTGATAGTAATGAAGAAAAGTATTATCAGGAGCTGGTGGATCGAAATGGGAAACGGGCAAGGAAGTTGCTATATGATATGAGGTCCACGTTGTCGGATTTTCTTTTGAGGTAAAGCGGGATCAGTTTAACAGCTCCATTTAGATATTGGAAAGAATCGCGTAATGTACAATTTTTCGTTCCAGGTTTACGTCATGGGTTCTGTACAAACTGCTCCCCTGCTTCTTGACGTCGGTAGTGGTGCATCCAGGACAAGTGGAAATGTTGAAAAAAGCAGGGAATTCCAATCTTCCGTTGATATTTCTTCCATTGCACAGATCGCACTTGGACTACATTTTAATTTCATTTATTTTGTTGAACAATGACATCAGATCGCCATTGGTTGCTGCTGGGGATAACTTAAGGATACCTTTCTTCGGGTAAGTCCATTTCAATTTCTTGACCTTGGTCCTGACATTCAATGTCAGGCTAGTTAAAACGGCTTTTCTATTTTCCGATTTGAGCTTGACGAATGTTTTCTGCAAATCCTATGACATTATCTTTTAAGGTCTTTGGTTTTTTATTCTTTATTTATGAACTAACTAGAATGTTTCCCGATAAAAATTTATTTGATCTTCAAATGACCTTGATTGCCATACTCAAGCGCATGGACATACTTGATCACAAAGCTTGCTGCTCCTTTTATTTCCGTTGTCAAAAATAGTAGTTTCCATGTTAGAAAACCGTCGTGACCTTCAGATGAGTTTGAACGTCATAGTTCAAGGTCACCATTAGATGTATCATTTCAAAACTTACACGATATTTTGAGTGTCCAGAAAGTAGCTAAATCACTCAAATACCCTGATGATCATAGGGCAAAGTCGTACTTAATCGTTAAATTTCCCGCTCTTTACGGTTCCTGTGTCAAAAATAGGGGATTCATTCAAAGAAAATTTCAACTGACCCTGAAAATCATAATCAAAGTCACGTTCAGCAATGGATGGATTTTTTCAAACTTCATAACTTTGTTCTACAACATTTTTCTGTAGGAGATTTTTGAAATATTTTGATCCAGCCATATTTTGTGAACACCCTGTATATTTTCGCGGATTTTCGCTAAGCCCTCCTCGCGTTTTAGTAAATGTACCAATATTGTATACAGGGTGTAATTTAATTGATGGCTAAAAATACAGGATATGATTCCTTAGCTCATTTTACGAAGAAAAGTTTAACGTAATATGTCCTATACCTCTTAACTTTTGAGCTACAGGGTGTGCACAGGTTTTCAGAAAAAAATCGTTTTATCATAACTTTAATGCTGGTCTAGATATTCTCATGAATTTTGCATTTTTTTATGTAGAATATTTTTTTAATATTTCTACCAGTGGCGTCCATACTGGAGATTTTTCAAAAAATTATGGTCCCCATTGCTTTTTTCGAAAATAAAATTCATTTTTGAAATCACAAACAAGAATATTAAGGCAGCTCAAAATTTGAGAGACAAACAATACAATAAATGTATATTCACAAAATCAAATGATGATTGGGAGGTATATAAAACTCTTAGGAATAAATGTGTATATGTAATTAGAGAAGAAAAAAGAAAATTCTACGATAAACAAATCGATAATAACAAGTGCGACAGTGTAAAGATGTGGAAGACTTTAAAAAGACTGATCAATTCGAAGCCGCATGATTGTGTAAATCAAGTTCAATTCGAAAACGGTACCGAAACAAATTCTTTGGTGATTGCAAACAAACTAAATGAATATTTTGTGGAAAGTATTGTTGATATTGTAGGTACTGCCAATGCTGCACCTGACTATATGAAAATCAGTTTCCAGGGGGAAACGTTGCATACACTTTCAAAATTTCACAGCGTATCATTGAATTATCTAAAAAAAAAAGTAAACAGTTTAAAATCAAATAACAACTGTGCCGAAATGACTACTAAAAACGTGCTGAAAAACTGTTTCGAAATTTTGGGATATCCTGTATTAAATTGGATCAATTGTTCACTGAGAAGCAGTTCTTTCCCTGAAAATTTGAAATGCTCTACAATAACACCAGTTCCCAAAATAAAAAATTCTAAAAGATGCAGCGATATGAGACCAGTAAATGTGTTACCAGACATTGAAAAATTATTAGAGTCCATAGTGCATGACCAATTAATGCAGTTTATAGAAGAAAACAAAATTTTAGTGGAGGCGCAAGCAGGCTTTCGAAAAAAATATTCCACAGAAACAGCTTTCCAGTTGGTAACTGAGAATTGGAGAAGAGCCATAGACTCAGAAGAAGTTGTCATAGCAGTATTTTTGGATTTGAAGAGGACATTTGAAACGATTGATAGAGATATTTTGTTAGGTAAATTGAAGGCATATGGTATAACAGGAAGTGTTTTAGATTGGTTTAGAAATTATTTGTCTAAAAGGATGCAAGTTACAAAAGTTAATGACACTATTTCATCAAAAATTGAAAATACGTTAGGTGTTCCACAGGGCAGTATCCTGGGACCACTTCTTTTTATTTTATACATAAATGATTTACCTGCCATAGTCAAAAAATGCAAAATTCAAATTTTCGCCGATGACACTATGATTTATATAAGTACTAAAAATATTCAGTCTGGTATCTCTTATATAAATGAAGACTTGAAGCTTGTCTCAAAATGGTTAGCATCTAACAGATTAAAATTAAATGCAAGTAAAACGAAAGCCTTGTTAATCGGAAAAAAACAATGTACAAATGTTCAACTGAATATTGATGGTGAAGATATTGAATTCGTAATAAAATTTAAATACCTGGGAGTTTTTGTTGACTCTTGATTAATTTTTGATATTCATTATGAAAAAGTTATAAATAAGATTAGTAGTAAAGTGGGATATTTATCGAGAGTTTCTGGATGTCTGAGTTCATATAGCAGAAAAATTATCTACGTAGTCCTGCCATAAGTTCTGTCCCTCGTTTTCAAACAAGTGTAGACCTGTTAATACTTGTCCGATTGTTTACATTGTGGTGTCAGTTGATTAAGCGCTTTTCGGGTAATTACATATACCTCAGTTTGTATTGATCTCTCGAAGCATAACGATGGAGTGGGGCAAGGCAGAGAACCGTATTGCAGTGATAGCTTTACATAAGTGTAATCACAGTGCTAGTCAGATTTTTGAACTCTTACGCGGCCTTCAAATATCGCGTAAATTTGTGTCTAGGACCATTCAGCGGTACAATGAGACGTCCTCTGTTGATGACAGGCCAAGAAGCGGAAGACCTCGTCAAGTAAGGACTCCAGCAGCCATCAAAGCCGTAAAAGCCAGGATTCAAAGGAATCCACTCCGGAAGCAGAAGATCCTATCCAGGGAAATGAAGATTCCTGTCCGGACGATGTCGCGCATCATTAAACAAGACCTAGGGCTAGGGGCTTACCGGAGACGTACGGGCCAGCGACTTACGGCCACCTTGCGACACATCAGGGCGACAAGATCCAAGAAGCTCTTGGAGAGGTACGCAGCTGGGGGATTCCGAAAGATTTTGTTCACGGATGAGAAAATCTTCACCATAGAAGAAAAATTCAACCGACAAAATGACAAAGTGTATGCAAGGAGTTCACAGGAAGCTTCGGAGATCATTCCGAGAGTTGAGAGAGGCCACCACCCTGCGTCAGTCATGGTTTGGTGGGGGGTGTCCTACGAAGGGGTCACTCAGCTCCATTTCTGTAAACAGGGCGTGAAAACAAAAGCGGCAAACTATCAGAGCGACATACTGGATCCTATCGTCAAGCCTTTAAGTGGTACATTGTTTGCCAACCAACACTGGGTCTACCAGCAGGATTCCGCCCCCGCTCACAAGGCTAAGAGTACGCAGCGCTGGCTGGAAAGCAATGTGCCAGAGTTCATTGCTGCGGAAGATTGGCCCTCAGGGAGTCCGGACCTCAATCCTTTAGACTACAAGTTGTGGGACCTGCTAGAACAGTTGGCCTGCTCCAAAGCCCACCGTAATATCGAGTCCCTGAAAGCGGATTTGATCCGATCAGCGGCAGCTATTCCTTTGGAAGCTGTGCGTGCAGTGATAGATGAGTGGCCCGCGAGATTGAAGCAGTGTGTGAAGGCCAAGGGGGGACATTTTGAATAAAACTGTTTGATTATGAATTCTAAAAATGTTGTCGAATAAATAATATCTTTCATATAAATATATCTTATCTTGTTTCATTTTTATCATGAGATTATCATGGGACAGAACTTATGGCACGACTACGTATAATACCATCATTCTTCCAAATTTCTTGTACTGTTCGACTATTCTATATTTAGCAAATAATTCCATTTTTGAAAGACTGCAAATTTTACAAAATAAGTGCATGAGAATAATACTAAATAAAGATAAATATACTCCAATTAGGCAAATGCTTAGCAAATTAAAATGGCTCAATGTAAAAAATTTTATCAAATATCTTGTAATGATATTCATTTATAAAGTAAAAAATATACTAAGTGACATATAAATCCGAACACCCAGTTTAAATGGTTTTATTTTAATAAAATTTTGTATAAGTACTTAATGAAGCATAATAAGTAAATGATAAAAATTTCAAAATGATTGCACTGCTTTAAAGCCCTTTGACCTTTAATAATGTGTGGATGCACCCTGATGTGCTACGCATTCTCCAACGCGCCCAGGCATGCTTCTGATCAGGTGGTCAATGTCCTCCTGTGGTATCTCATTCCAGGCAACAACCAACTCCTCTCGAAGTGCTTCTAGAGTCTGAGGAGGACGTTGCAAATTGAGCAATCTCCTACCCATCATATCCCACACGTGCTCAATTGGGGATAAGTCGGGAGATCTTGGTGGCCATGGTAACAATGTGACATCATTATGTTGAAAGAAGTCTATTCTGACTCTTGCAACATGTGGTCGGGCATTATCTTGTTGGAAAGTTGGATCTGCCAGGGTGTCAAGATAGGGTAAAAGATAGGGTAAAAGATGGGGTTCTAGAACTTCGTGGATATAACGCTGCGCGTTCATGTTACCTCTGATGAAGATTAAAGGTGACCTGGAACCATAAGCTATAGCACCCCAAACCATAACTCCAACAGTGTGATGAACATGTCTTTCAACAAAAAACTGTGGATTCCTCCTTTCACCACGTCGCCTTCTAACCCTGGCACGACCATCGTGCATGCCTAAACAAAATCGAGACTCGTCACTAAAGACAATACTGTTCCATTCCTGATCCCAGAGTGACCGTTGTCTGCACCACTCAAGGCGATTACGTCGGCGTTCTCGAGTTAAAGGGAGGACCTGGGTCCTCCCAGTATGGCCGGTATGAAAACAAGCCAAAACTTCTCATTCATCGGTAAACACTTCGCATGCCAATAGGTCTTCCGTGTTCTGCAAACCATTCATTTGCAATGGACCTGGCAGTGGAGAAACGGTCCCTTAAGGCCAATAATCTTAGGCGGCGATCTTCACGGTCTGTTGTTCTACGGCGGCGTCCAGTGCCCCTTGCTCTTTGCGTACGGCCTTCTTGAAGCCATGCCTGACAACACCTAACCACAGTGTCTACACAACTTTGCACTCTAACTGCAATTGCCCGAAAAGAAAGTCCAGCTTCCCGAAGTCCCACTATACGGCCCCTATCAACTTAGTGAGTTTGATGAAATCGTACAGGTCTCCGTACTCTAGGCATCGTAACCGATCGTAAAGGATGTCAAGAACCAAAATCCGCCAACGTTGATTCTTTAGTGCGGCTAAAATATTCATTTTTGGAGCATTAGTGAATTAAAAAAAAGCTGTATAAAAACAGGAATGTCCAACTGATAAGGCTGAAAATTTTTTCACTTGTTATTTACAGTAAGATAAATACATTCATCAACTTTTATTAAAATAAAACCATTTAAACTGGGTGTTCGGATTTATATGTCACTTAGTATAATATATTTCCATCAAGTCTAACTAATTTAACATCATCAAATGTCGACCATCATTTACATAATACCAGAAATAAAGATGACTTCCATTTAATGACCAAAAAGTATAACATATGCTACAAATCTGTATTCCATCAAGGGTTGATTGAATATAATAAATTATACTCGGAGATAAAAGACCAGAAAACTTTGACAAAATTTAAAGTAAAATTGAGAAATCACTTGTTAAATCTACAATTATAGGTTGCCCAGCATTTACATCATACACCATATGGGTTGAATTTACTAGTTCTAAGTTGTTTACAATTGTTCTGTTTATGTAGCCAAATGTGCTAAATAAATCTTACTACTACTACTACTACTACTACTACTTATTTTGCAGAAAATTTGACATCTTAACTTTTTTCGTTTGTTGCACATAATTAACCAATTGACTTTACTAATAATAAACTAATACTATTTAATTTAATTATCACAAGAATTGTTGAAAATGTCCTCCTACTAGAATTCAGGCTTCAATTCTCTTTTTCATATTTGTTATGGTTTGGCAAGAAAGTAGAATTTTCTGCCTTAGGTCCTCTACAGCTTGAGCCGGTGTAGTATAGACTAAAGTCTTGAGGTGCCTTCACAAAAAATAGTCTAAACTATTTAAATAAGGGGACCTGGGAGGCCAAGATTGAGTTCCATCACGTCCTATCCAGCGATTCGTAAATGCTTCATTTAGAAACTCCCTAGCATTAATGCTAAAATGTGCATGACCACCATCATGCATGTATCACATTTATTCTCTTAATAAAATAGGTTACATCCTCGAGCAGAATTGCGAAAAGCGAAAACGGTGCCTCGGGCGGAAAATAGTCAAGAGATCAAATTTAATGCGAAATAACTGAGGAATTCATAAATATATTTTTTAAATCTCCAGTACGGACGCCACTGGTAGAAATAATAAAAAATATTCTAGATTAAAAAATACCTTTTGGTTTCATGGAAATATCTAGAAAAGTATAAGATAAGAAAACGAAGTTTTTCTTAATATTCAATCACTGCGTAGCTCAAAAGTTGAGAGGTTTAGGACATATGTCCATATAAACTTTTTTTTTATCCAAAATGAGCTAAATATATATGAATCATTATTGTTTTCAGGTCCTTGTTACGTGGTCTAGGAGCGTTTTTCATCAAACGCCGCGTTGACCCCGTTCAAGGTCACAAAGACCTTGTGTACAAAGCGGTCCTCCATACGTATATGAACTACTGCCTGAGAGCTGGACATAACATGGAGTTCTTTCTGGAAGGAGGCAGGACGAGGACCGGGAAGCCTTGTATGCCTAAATATGGGATTCTGAGCGTTATTGTAGAGACCTTCTTGGATGGGACGATAGAGGACGCTCTCCTGGTACCGGTAAGCGAGCGTTTGAAATCATCAAGTAATTTTTACATTGGGATTTGTACCATCGTTTTTACACTACGTCGCCGTCGTTGGCCAAAGAAGTCATAATAACAAAAAAAAATTGTTCAATTGCTATCGTGAAAAATTTCGTTATGATTTTAAAGGATTGAATTTCTTTTAAGGTCAGTGTAAACTACGAGAAGTTGGTGGACGGTAATTTTGTGAGAGAGCAACTGGGACAGCCAAAAGAAATGGAAACATTCACTGGCGCCATGAAAGGCATTTGGCATGTCCTCAACAGTAATTATGGGATGATGAGGATCGATTTTAATCAGCCATTTTCGTTAAGGGTACGGTAAAATTGTATGAAAATCATATCATTTCGTATTGCATATACTTATACCATATTACCATTATTATTTAGTCGAGCAATGATTACAAATATATCAGTGTGAATTTTGATATTCATGTATGAGGATTCAAATATTTGTGATTCAGTCTTCCACATACATTTCTAATGACTAATTCAACTTTCAGGAATTGGTAAAGACGTTCAACACAAGTGGGAAGTTACCTAACGGCAAAAAACCTACGCTTACTTCTAAGGCATCAACAAATAGTTTATATGGCACCGACGTCGTGTCAGAAGACCATAAGCAGTTAGTCGAAAGCATATCAAAGCATATCATTTATGGTAAGGAGGGAGGTTTAATTTATTTTTGAGTCACATCAGTGAACCCATGTTTCGTCACCTGTTACAACACGCTTCAGTAATTCTGCATCGTCGTTGACGTCATTTAATGTCTCCTTAGCAATTTCTTTTCGCTGCTGTTTTTGTACAAAATTGAACAAGTTTCCTGCCCGAAACATTTGAAAAAATGTTATGGCACAAGACAATCGATATGCCTCTCTGATTGTGATTCGGATTTAAAGAATTTCAAGTAGTTGCGTGAAATTATCGTCGCATTACCAACAAGTGGCAAAGCCTGCATTCTGCCTCATTTTTCGACTATAACTCTTTTACTATTAGTGGGATCTTTTCACCTGTAGTCTCATTTTGTAGGTCTCATAAATACCTAAAAAACTTATATGAAAAACTTTTCCGTTCCTATCAACACTTTCGATTGAATCCCAAAATACACGTTTTCTCATTCTTTGTTGTGAAATAAAAAGTTTTCCCACAAAAATTGGTGTAACCATTTTATGCATCCATGTTTTAAACACCCCCTTGAACAACCTGCACCAATAAAACCAGACTTTATAATTATTTCGGGGAAATTTGCTAATATGATTAGACTATAATGGCCATATTGGGAACGCCTATACCACGCGTAAACTCTTGTTTTACTCATTGCAGACTCACCATAGGCCTTTATTAACATTTCACATGTTTTATTAAGCTTTATTTAATTTTTTACGCAGTCTGATACAAATTCTTTGATCCATTTCTTCTAACAAACGAAAATCGCCACACTCACAAAACCACGTATAACTTTACCGGCGGCCTCAAAGTAAACAAGGAATACAGCTTGAAAATTTTTTCATACTTCATACCTAAAAAGTTGCGACATTCGGACTCTCCAAACCCGCAAAACTTATTTTCTGAATACACCTCGTAGGCAAGTATGCTCAGTTATAGTAGTCATCAACTGAACATTGATGGGGTTGTTCAAAATTTGAAAACCATGGAAACTTATGTAAACAAAAAGGAATCTTACATAAGAGGCCGCGTTTTCAAAATTTATAATGAACTTAGAGCACTGCCAGAAAGTCATACTTCCTGAGCTATAAAGTATTTATTTTTTTCAGATTGCGCACAATCAACGTCTGTGATGTCAACGAACGCTCTAGCGTTCCTACTGTTAACCAAATATAGAGAAGGAGCGAGTATAAAAGAACTAGTCAAAGCGATGGACGATCTGAGGAACGATCTGAATTATGTAAGAAGAGACATTGGTTTCAGCGGAGATTCCATAGATGTCATCAATTATGCCGTAAGTGAACATGACCGTACATGTTTTTATTATTTGATCACCGAATATTTGCATGCAATGTCCCGATAGGGTGCTTCATCGCTTTTCAACCCTTTAGAGTGCTTCAATTGAACTTCAATTACCGTCTGTTAATGCCCTTTGATACACGTTTAACGTTTTCCAAGTTCAAACGTAGTTCTAGAGAAATCAGCGCAGCAACAAATAGAGTATGTCGAATCATGCAGGGTATTGAAAGAAAAGCAACCGCTCTGTTTAATATAACTGATAGTATACCGCGGGTTCAAGACAAAAATGTTGCGTTCATTTTGGTCTCGATCGACTATTCCAAACCTTCGACAAATTGAATCACCTTCTGCTTCTTTTAAAATTGGAGAGTTTTGATATGTTGTCATTAGAATACTTTTTTTAACTCTACTAACATCATATGTGGTGTTCCACAACGGTCTGTTTTGGTACCCTTGTTATTTCTAATATAAAGTAGCGGACAAAAGTTTGGAAACATTCTTAGTAATTTTTAAAAAGTGTGCTAATTTTTTATTCTTTATTATTAAGGACTATTTTTATCTCATCTAGTTTACAGTCTTGAATTTGTGTTTGCTGCGGTACTGCACACTAGCATTAAAATACCTGCATATTATTTATGACCGAAAATGAGACGAAAAAAGTATGGAAACATTTTTTATTACAAAATTGAATACAATAACTCTACAAAGAGATTTAAAAAATACTAATATTGATAAGATAAACCTTGTATTAGTATGGGAGACAAAGGTAGAGACTTTAATATTTATATTATCTGTTCCTTGAACTAGGTATATGAAATAATTCATAATAATGTTAATATTTGTTTTCAAACTTTTGTCCGCTACCGCATAATTGTCGATTTGCCACCTTAACGCGTGGGAAATATCGAATACCATTTAAACTTATTTTTTCCATTTCAGGTCGACATGTTAGGTCCAGCCCTAGTCCAACGTCTCAAAGTGAACAACGAAGTGCTCCTCAAGCCCATAGCAACCCTTCCAAACGTCATCGAACTAACCTACTACAGCAACACCCTAGTCACTCACTTTGCCTTGGACTCCATCGTCGCCGTAGCCATTGAAGCGCTGGACAAGACCTCCGGCAACGTGGTGCACCAGGACCTCGTGGACAACGTCCTCGAGCTGTGCGACGTGTTCCAGTACGAGTTCCTGTTTTGTAAGCCATGCCAGAGCCTCGAAGAGGTCGTGATGGGGTGTATCGATGATTTGGTGTATAGGAAGCAGATATTTTTGGTGGTGAGTTACTAAATTTGCTTTTCACTTCTAGTGAAGTGATCTCAGATTTAGACCTCGGAATCCCCTTGCACTGGATGTATGTTTGTAATTGTTAGTGGGACAGGTTTAAAATATCGTATATCAACCTATTGATTTTGACCGTGTTGATCTTCATTTTTTTAAATGTTTTATTAATACTCGTTATTTTATAGCGCATAAGCATGAATAGGGTTGTAGGTGGATCCTGTAGCAATATCCCCTATGGTCAATTTAATTCCTTTTTTATACATGTTCGTAGTTAACTCTTTTATAATTTGTGGGAAGCGCAGGCTCAACCTACTCGACGCCATCTTTTCAGGATAACAATCCAGAGAACGAGCTGAACCTCCGTAGCAGACGGATCGCCAGACAATTCGACGACCAAGACGCTGAACAAGACGTCGAAGCGATCCCCCAGAAGATCTACAAAATCAATCCTAATAAAGAAGCGGTAGACACGTTGAAGTACCTGCGAGTACCACTGATGCCACTCATAGAGTCGTACGCCATCACGGCGTTCACCTTGGACAAGCTGGTTGGAAGGCAGTTGCTGGAGAACGAGCTAATCGATGACGTGCTGAACGAACTCAAGGCGCAACTGGCGCTTAAGACTGTCAAATATGGTAAGTCATTCAAAAAACAATATTTGTACCGCAGAAAGTGCATTAAAAAAGTCCTTATAAACATAGCTCCTAAAATGTGCCATTACCATTCCAAGATTTTATGTCGCTGACGATACTCATTAACGAAAAAATATGAATATTCTTCAAATAGTGCTGGGGTGAGTGTTGCCGTACCAACGGATCTTTTGGTATGTCTACTGAAATGAGACCTTATTTACCGAAAACGTCCTACTATGTTCCAAGAAGACGGGGCAACATCTCACACAGCTCGCACTTCGATGGAACTTCTTCGGCAAAAATTCCGAGGACGTCTCATTTCACGTCATGGTGATATTCCATGGCCCCCTCGCTCCCAGGACCTGTCAACGTGTGATTTCTTTTTATGGGGCTACCTGAAATGAAAAGTTTACCAAAGCAAGCCCCCGTTTTTTTAGAGGGTCTAACTTTTGGCGATCACAATCCTTTATGAACTGACGACAGCGTTCCATGGAGAGTGCAGAATTTATTTTACGCCATTTTTTACAGACGAGAGTGTCTCCGTGGATCCAGTGAAAAATGCCTTGCGTCTCTTCCAAAAATGGGGTATTTTGGAATGCCATGCAGAGAGGAAACTGAGGTTGTACTACCTGGTAGAATCACAAGACGATTCTGAGTCTGTCAAGTCGATATACCAAAGGGTCAACAAATTTAGGCAGTGAGTAGATATGTTTGTGACATAAGATTTTAAATAATTCAGCAAGTTATTGTAAAACATTCAGGCATTTGTCTTACTCAAGACAGTAGTTATCTAGAGTGAAAATATCAGAAAATGCAAACTCAAAAGGGCAATATTATTTTAAGGTTACCATTCTGTTTTTTTTTTGTTTGATCCAAAACATGTCAACGATTTTATTTTGCAGCTTAAATCAACTCCCATTTTCAAGTGCCTTTTTTATACAGAGTCATTGTGTGAACTATTGAATTATTGAGTGTGGTTGTAATACTGTGATAGCAAAGTTTAATCACAATTTAGTTACATATGTGTAAAAAAGTTGTATATAAGGAATAAATAATTGTTTTTATCTATCGTTTTTTTCTTTTTTCCAACCACTTATCGCCGATTATTTCCAACTCGCAACTCTTGAAAAATGAGTACTAATCATAATTTAAAATAATCATTTACGTTAAAGAATAAAAACTATCAGATATTTTTTGTATATTTTTTCAACATCAATTCATCTAATTTTTACTAAAAATTTTACGAAAAATCATTTTCGTTGGTCTGTCCGCTAATTCTATAACCATCTATAACTTTAGAAGTAAAAAAATACTACTATGCTAATGACGGTTTTGGAAAACGGTCCAGAGAAAAAAGGCCAAAAACGAAGGAGAATAAAAATCGCTCAAACTTCGACTTTTGAATTTTCAGGGGATCCGGGTCGCTTTTTAAAAAAAATTTAGATGTAAAAAAACGTGGGTGTGGGAGTTTTAGCACCCCCCTACATCATAGATTGCTCCATACTTTAGTCCTCAAAACTTCTCAGCAGACAGATCGCGTACCTATCGGCTGCGGCTCCCAGCGGCGTGACGCCTTCCTTGGTGAGTATTCTGGTACGTATACTAAGTGACATATAAATCCGAACACCCAGTTTAAATGGTTTTATTTTAATAAAATTCTGTATAAGTACTTAATGAAGCATAATAAGTAAATGATAAAAATTTCAAAATGATTGCACTGCTTTAAAGCCCTTTGACCTTTAATAATGTGTGGATGCACCCTGATGTGCTACGCATTCTCCAACGCGCCTAAGCATGCTTCTGATCAGGTGGTCAATGTCCTCCTGTGGTATCTCATTCCAGGCAACCACCAACTCCTCTCGAAGTGCTTCTAGAGTCTGAGGAGGACGTTGCAAATTGAGCAATCTCCTACCCATCATATCCTACATGTGCTCAATTGGGGATAAGTCGGGAGATCTTGGTGGCCATGGTAACAATGTGACATCATTATGTTGAAAGAAGTCTATTGTGACTCTTGCAACATGTGGTCGGGCATTATCTTGTTGGAAAGTTGGATCTGCCAGGGTGTCAAGATAGGGTAAAAGATGGGGTTCTAGAACTTCGTGGATATAACGCTGCGCGTTCATGTTACCTCTGATGAAGATTAAAGGTGACCTGGAACCATAAGCTATAGCACCCCAAACCATAACTCCAACAGTGTGATGAACATGTCTTTCAACAAAAAACTGTGGATTCCTCCTTTCACCACGTCGCCTTCTAACCCTGGCACGACCATCGTGCATGCCTAAACAAAATCGAGACTCGTCACTAAAGACAATACTGTTCCATTCCTTATCCCAGAGTGACCGTTTTTTGCACCACTCAAGGCGATTACGTCGGTGTTCTCGAGTTAAAGGGAGGACCCAGTGTGGCCGGTATGAAAACAAGCCAAAACTTCTCATTCGTCGGTAAACACTTCGCATGCCAATAGGTCTTCCGTGTCCTGCAAACCATTCATTTGCAATGGACCTGGTAGTGGAGAAACGGTTCCTTAAGGCCAATAATCTTAGGCGGCGATCTTCACGGTCTGTTGTTCTACGGCGGCGTCCAGTGCCCCTTGCTCTTTGCGTACGGCCTTCTCGAAGCCATGCCTGACAACACCTAACCACAGTGTCTACACTTCTTTGCACTCTAACTGCAATTGCCCGAAAAGAAAGTCCAGCTTCCCGAAGTCTCACTATACGGCCCCTATCAAACTCACTAAGTTGACGAAATCGTACAGGTCTCCGTACTCTAGGGATCGTAACCGATCGTAAAGGATGCCAAGAACCAAAATCCGCCAACGTTGATTCTTTACTGCGGCTGAAATATTCATTTTTAGAGCGTTAGTGAATTAAAAAAAAGCAGTATAAAAACCGGAATGTCCAACTGATAAGGCTGAAAAATTTTTCACTTGTTATTTACAGTAAGATAAATACATTCACCAACTTTTATTGAAATAAAACCATTTAAACTGGGTGTTCGGATTTATATGTCACTTAGTATATTTCTGCCGCGTTACAGCATTTCCTGTTCTCTGACGGGGAGACACGACGTTTCCAGTGCAGAGTCAACCCACTTGACGCCATTTTTTATGTTCAATAGGACTAGAAAACTAAAATATACTTAAAAATAATTTATATCACTCTTGTACATTGTATAGATACATATATTCATATTTAACCACTTGTGAAGGCAAAACTCTTCCGAGGCATTACGACAATTATGTCAATATTGCACAAGGAAATTTTTTATTGGAATATTAAGAAAATTTGTTATTGTTAACGGCCTATATTGAACACTTCTTCCATCTTATCTGATATCATTTTTGCAATAGCCAATGAACTAGTGGCTGCAGGGCTTGGTGCATTCCGGCAGTGTAAGACTCTACTGCTTACTGGGTTTTGAGTATGTCTCTGGATATCGAAGTAGAAATCGTCAACCAGGTTTCCTAAAACAAAACAAAAAATTATTAAATATACATGGTGGCCAATTAGGTTCCGGAAATTTGTTAATGAAAAAATCAGTAATTAAGTTTAGGGCGAAACTTTATCATGAATCTTTACAAGAGTCTCGTTTTAACTCTATGCAATGATTCCAACGATTCGAAACACCCTTAATAATCCTCAGAGGTTTGTTTGTTCAGCACCATCGTTAAAGATTCCTGGACTTTCTTTACACCTCACAGTTAGTCGAAATCCCAATTTTGCGGCCAAAAGTCTTAGAAGCGGTTTTTATCGTTTTTCTTGCTTCCTACGTCACTGGGCGAGGGGTGCTGTAATCGCGAAGAATGTCAAAAATGAGATACGGGGTCTGTAAATTATGTGAAGAGACTGGCAAGGTAGCATTCGACCTGGCAACACTGGAGGCGCTAGGAGGAAAGATTTATTTTCGCAGTAGCTTGTGAATTTCTCTTTCACAATAATCTAAGATTTAATAATAGTGTGACAAATAGTACTGTTGGCGCCATCTATTGGGCGAGTCTCCTACTCGCCAGAGCTTCATGGCCGATCTCTGCTTTTACGCGAACCACGACCGCACAAGCCGCTTGGCGGCGTCTGTGAGGACCGTGACAGTGGACCCCCTTCTAGATCAACGCGAAGTGACCTCCAATATTCTAGATGTCGCTTTGTAGTTCACCAGACCTTTCTCGAAGCAGCAATGGGGACTATATATAACTCGGCGGCCGGGAGGTGGAACCAGAGTACTGAATACGGTAGAGTAGCAGAGCGGAGTGGAGCATAGTGCAGTCAATGGCGACATAAGAATTAGTCAGACATAAATAGTGGTGTACCTAAATGTTCTATCAAGTTAAATGAATTAGTGCATTTCGTTTTGTGGAATCCAGTGTTCTAATTGCAATTGGCTGTAATTATGGGCGGATGGGGATAATTTTAAAAATTTTAAATATCTCCGGCCAAATACCCTCACGTGTACACTTATACAAGAATTATTTTAGAATAATACGTTTTAGCATCAGATCAAATCCTTCGACTACAGATCCGTACCTTTAATGTCCAAAGCCTGAGCTCTAACTCCCGCTGGTCCGCGTTGCACATCACTACTGGTAATCGATGGTATGAACTTCTTCAGATCTTTCACTTGCAGCGAAATAATTGCAGACTTCATTATCTCATAGGATCCAGGTAAGAGGTATTTCAAGCCCATATTTATAAATCCCGGGTACAAAATCGTATCTGCTAGTTCGAAAACGTTGATATCTGTCCATCTAAAATATAATACCTCCACATTATTAAAAATCTCAAAACTTTCAGAAACGCGGGTAGCAAATTTTCTCGGAAGGGGGAGTCAAACCATAAAAATTCCGAAAATTGTACAGAAAGTCATGCTAAATATGAAGTTTTAAGATTCACCAGATTCTCAGGGGGATTCGCCACCTCCTCCCCCTCCCCTGAGGGCGCCTATGTCCTCAACCACCAACCAAAATTGTAAATATAAAGCCGTTCCGGAGATCACAGTTCTAAGCCATATACATGATGGTGTTTCCTAATAGAATGTCAATATTTAAGACGCCGATTTTTTAATTCATTTTAAGAAGAAAACTTCATATGAACGTATGTCCTAAATAATGCTTTCAATACAGATACCCACCATTCCTCGATGATCCTTAGAGACCCTTACCACATTATGTACTTTTTGTCGTCGTCACATTTTTTAGTTGATAGACCACTTTCAAATGTACTCATTACGTATCTACATTGTAGTTATTAGTTATAGGACAAAATGTATGCCATATCCTAGGTACAATTTTCTAATCAAATTCTGATCTTCATATTAGTCAAAAAAAATTTTTTTTTCTCGCTAGAAACCTCCGATTTCTAAATATGAAAAACCCTCCTGAAACCCAAATTCAAATTGTACATTACTTGTAACCTTCTCTCTTGAACGATAATACTGCGTTAGGCCCCAGCCATATGCTGCCGTCCATCCTAGGCGTGAAATGGACCCCCAAAAACGGGAACCTAGGATCTGGAACCGGATATATGTTCCCTTTGACCAAATCTTTCTTCTTCGGTGACAGCAGCAGGTACTCGCCTCTGAAAGGTACTATTTTTGGTGACTTGGGACAGCCGGACTTTACTGCTAGTAGGTCCGATTGAAGTCCGCCGCAAGTTAGGACGTATTTAGCTTTTAGCTCTTCTGATTTTTTGGACCCGATCAGAACTGGGAAGTCTTTCTCTCCAGATTCTTTGAAGGAATCAACCTGAAAGTGAAAATGAACCTCATAATGTGCACAAGACATGAAGCAAAGCCTAAGTCTCGGTACACACAAGCGGACAGAGGGCGCAACGCGCCCTTCCCTCAATAAATTGCGAAAGTGAGACTTTCCAAAAAAGTAGCGAGACATAGTGAGTTTATACATAAAAAGGCTAAACAGATAATATAAATAAGAATGTGTGAATAGAACGAGAATGGCGCTTATAAGATCGTTGTTCCTGTTTTATTGACGTAAGCAAATATAATGATTTATATGTGTGCATATTTTAAGATTAAATTTTTGTAAATACAGGAGACGTCTATTAGTATTTCTAAAGTAGATGTTTAAACTCATGTTTGTGTTTTCCTACGTCTCACATATGGCGCTAATGCTTTCTATCGATTGACATTGAAAATTAATATTAAATTATAATTACGTGGAATATGAAAAACTATTGAATCACGAACTATTCATACCTCAAAGCCTAAGAAAATTTCTCCTCCCATTTCTTCAAAATCCTTTCCATAATGCTTAGTCACCAATCCCCAGTCAACGATTCCCGTCTCTGGAGACCACAGTGCCTCTAAACCAACACAGTTTGGTTCTATCTTTTTGATCGCATCTAAGCCTTTCAACAAAACGATTGCAGGTACGTTATTAGCTTTAGCTCTTTGGAGGAGACCGTGTAATCTCTCTACTTCAATTTTGTTCGTTGCTACTATCAACTTGCCCACTTTCTTGTAGGGAATGTTCTTTTGGTCCAAGTACTGGTAAGACAGGTGGAGACCTTCTACGCACAGTTTGGCCTTGAGAGAACCTAGAATACGAAGTAAAAAATGCCGTCGGGTAAGTACTTCCCAAGCAACGCAGTCATAATTTCGTAACGGGTTACGTTTAGCACAAGTTGGCCTTTCGGGGAAAAATTAGCTACGAAAATGAATAACAAAAAATTAAATGATCTTGAGCGAAATTCCTTCAGGCGCACATTATCGTTGCGATTACCAATTCCGCGTGAATGACGATAATAGTCGTCGCCATGCACGGTGCACTCAGACCACAGCATTGTGGCAGCGATTGCCGACTGTTATGCACGACGCTCGTCCATCGAGGGACCACGTTGCACGTATCGACACGCGCCTGTTGCAGAAATTTCAAGTTTTAAGGGTATATGTATGATGAGTGAAATATGCCCAATTGGTGCAAAGAATTACTGGGGTTGGAAGCGTATGAATAAACCAACGACAAAAAATATTTATCCTTACAAAAATGCGAAGTTCGAGATTTTTTTTTCGGTTTTTGCCTTTTTCTTCGCCTTCACTGGACCGATTTTCGAAAACTACAGAGCTTTTTTGTCCTTGGCATAATAGTACCATTGGGTAACTTCTCAATTTATAGGTGGTTATATGACTAGCGGACAGTCAGACCAACCGACGGACAGACGGAAATGAGTGACATATACATACCACATCTAAAAAAACACGCCAGTAGGCGTGGGAAGTAGAAGAACAAGAGCGTGGACCCCACTCCTGAAACAAGTGGATAGAATGACTGAGAGAGAGTGTGTTTTCTTGGGAATGGTACCAAATTCTGATAGCTCTGTTCATTTGTCAGAGGAGTTTGTGAATGCATTCAGTCAAGTCAAAAGAATAAGTGCCTGGTTTCTACACATCATTAAACGTTCCATCACAAAGTTAACTTCGTCTTTAGAGACGAGACTGATGGCCGATGGTAAAACTTCTGCACTTTTTCTCCCGAAAATGATTCGGGATCTGGCTATTCTATCAGTGCAGGAATATAATTTCCCGAAAAGTGAGAGAAGCACACTCACTTTCTCTCAGTTACTCTATACCCTTCTTTCAAGAATTGCTTGTCCTCCTGAGCAAACTAGAAAGATGTAGTATTATATCGATGTTGAATTCAAAATATCTTCCATGTGGTTATCCGGTATAGGTGAACTGAATTTTTTTTTTGAAAATTGTCTAGTAGAAAACCGCAAAATATTATTCTGAAGGTCAAGTCCAGGAGCGGTCGATATATTTAGCTCGTTATAATCCATTTGAAAGCAGAAATCATGCATCAGTTGCTCGTGGTCTGACCAATAGAGACGGAGTCAAAGTTCGACACTCCAGAGTATTTAACTTCAAATAAGAATAACCAAGTCTGATGTTCGCCCAAGTTCCTTACCAGGTGTATAATAAATACCGGCATGTATAACTCCGCTGTTATGACCACTTTGATGGACCGCCATTTCTTTTTCTTTCTCCACGATGGCCATTTTCAGATTGGGGTGTCTCTGCTTCATTTCTCTGGCTGCAGCCGCCCCTACTATTCCACCACCAACTACAACTATGTCATAGTTCGGACAACTGAAAATAGTCACAGACATCAATAACTATATACGGATGCAGAGAACGAGAACTACATCTACTCATTCTTAAATTTGAAAAAATGGAATCTATATTCAAGTACCAAAACGGAATAGTATTCCACATCGTACGCCATTGCAAACGCGGAGTGAACCGGCAAAGTCGATGCGCGTGGTTCCCACCGTATTCAAACTAGTGTACGATGTGTTTTGTTACTCTCTTCTATTGTTTGTACCAGATTATAGCAAGATATGAGATAATCTGAACATTATTTTAGTTGCTAGTTCCCATTTTGGAAGCAAAGGTACTTATTGATGTTAGTGCTTGGTCTTGACCAGACATCAGCTATGTATGATTTGGTAGAGCGGAGAACGAGCGCCGAGAGCGCAAAGTGTTTCTTTGCCGCCCGAGAAATTTCGAATTTTTTCACAAGACCATACCCACTTGTTTACTTCCGGTTCGTGTGGGCTAGGCCTATACCGCACAGATGAGTTGCTGATATGCACTAAGCCGCGCTACGGTTGGTTGTGGTACAGAGACGGAGAGCAAAACATATTCAGTTCAACCTCATAATCATAGAAAGTCATTGCTGGTTTGCTTTGTTGACTAGTTGACGGGTCGACCGTTATGGTGGTACGACATCTTCCGTCCATAGCGCAGAACTTCGAGCCAGAAGACGTAAGGGTCCTCTGTCATCTTCTCGTTCTTCGAGACTAGCCCTATGTCACACTGATGAGTTGCTAATGAGCACCAAACAGCCATGTCTGCTGTTGGTCATTGTTATAGAGATGTCAGCAAACATTTTCATTTCAGTCATTTTCTCTTTTTTGAAACCATACATTTATAACCGATTGGCACTTATTTCACGAGTAGTTTTTTAAGATAGCCGATTTATGGATTTAATGTCAAACGGAAAATTCGATTTTCTCAGGGTGTTTGCTTTGACTGGGTTTACCATATGTACCTTAAAGGAAAAAAAACATGCAGCAATAAAACACGTGACATGTTAATAAGCAATTTTTAAGTATAATTTTCGATAATAATTATATTTTTAATTTGGTTATTCGATCAAGTTATATACCGGTGACTAAATTCCCTACTAAAACAATGTTTGAGTTCAGAGCAGTTTTTTGGGCTTTTCCCCTTATTATTAATAAACTGCGTCAGTTATTTCGAATTTGAATCTGTCAAAACAAATACTATAATAATATCAACCCTAGAAAGTACTTTAAAATTGGGTTTTTTCGGTAATGGCACAGCTTTTAATGTCTCCTGAAATATTCAAATTGTGTGACTCCTGAGGTCTTCCCAATAATTGATTTCATTGTTTGACAAAAAGTACTACGAGAATTAATACACGTCTCAAGATTTAAAGCTAATAAAGATATTATGGATTTTCCAGGTTTATAGGTTTGTGCATATTTTTTTCTAGTGGATATATTGTTTTTTTCACGAGTATCCATTACGGTGATTATCTAGTAATATTTCAAAATTTCACATATTTTGTTTTAGTTTTTTGTACGATACAGACTCATTTTGTACTTGCTAACGACTCTTTTATTTAGAAAAGTTCATTTTCATAGAAAAAAAACGGTACAAGCATACAAGCAAGTTTTACTAGATTTGCACCCAATTCATTATTGCAAACGTTAGAGAGTAATACAAAAATGTAACTTGCTGATCAGCTGTTCACCTCAGAGTAGACGACAAAGCGTGATGGATACTCGTGAAATAGGGTTCGGCCTTGTTATTAATGTAAAAAAAGTTGGTTGCTATAATTGAATAATATTAATAACAAACCCAATAAATATAGTTTATTATCATTTATGATTTATTAATAGATATATGTATGGCATTGCACCAGATGTTATGGATTAAGACCTAGACCGGTATGCGGGAGATATTCTGATGAAATCCAGTTTTGATTAAAATGTTTATTAATACAATAACCAACTTGAATTTGAAGAAAATTTACGTGAGAGGCGAGTTTTCGGAGACAAAACTATAAAAACCCAGTATGCGACTGACTGCTGTCACGACTACGTGAACGTGAAAGCAAACGAAATATTTATTTAAGATTACAGTGCAAACTTTCTAATCAGAAATTCTAAATTGTCCGCATTTCAAATCTACTTCAACAAAAAAGGATGAAAATTATTTAGGTGAATCTGCACCGCGCATTTTTAAAAGGAATCACACCAAGGCTGCAAACTGCTCAACACAAAACAAACTAACCTGCTCTTCTGCCTTGTTGTCAAATGGTTCGAGACACACCCAGGGCCCCTATGGCTCATTTTCACCATTTTCCACAGTACTTTTGCCATAATTTACTCTAGAAATAAACTGTCCCTTGACAAATCATAAATTCGGATCAGACCACTTATCTGCGCTAGTATCTTACTTCTGTGCATTCACGGCTAAAGCGCTAAAATAATTTCGACATTGTAAATGAAGATCAAATCAGTCATTGCCGTATCAGGTTAGCAAATGTACAACTCGCGTCAATCGGAATCGTTATCATCTCTTGTCAACGTGTAAAGCATGTTTCACAAGTGTCAAGTTATTCTTAATGGAACACTTCTAAAAAATACTATATTTTATGCTATTGTTAGAGCATTATTTGGTGAAGCTTGTCCTTTTCTGTTACGCCTATGCCTTGCAGGGATTATTGGAAGGTCCCAGAGTTCAAAAATGGAACTTGTTAAAGATATCTGCCTTACTGACGCCTAACGCCGTGTACAATATGACTATGGCACGATAGATGGCGCGAGAATGGTCACATCACAGCCGTCGCCTGTGCTCACATTCCTCATTTAAATTTCCTAGGAAGCGTTTCGGAGCACTGATGTGGTTACATGAACCAGGGCCGTACTAGGCTCGTACAAAGGAGTACTACATTTACGAAACGAGAATTACAGGAAGCATGCTTCTCCCAAACGGGATATTAGTAATGTTCTAGCATCAAATTTCCAAAAGTTGAAACCGATTGAGCATGGTTAGTAGAGAAAACATGTTTAAGCAACGGTAAAACATAGTTGGAAATTATCAGGAAACCAATTTTTGCTTTGAAAACAGTAGGATTTTGGCGGGACTTGTAGTTCCTGACATGCGCAGATCGCACAAGATCTGGTTTTTGTTGTTTTGCTTTTTGCCAAAGTTGTGATTTATTGACAGTTTCAAATGGCGACTGGCGATTGGCTATTTGAGTGGCGCCCAGTAGGTATCCAGCGAATTGGCGATATCTGGCGTTTTTGACATCTCTGACGCCAATTAGTTTGTAAACCATTTTTTGATGATATTTATGTGTAAACATTAAAGAAACATGAAACGAGGACCAACGGAAGCTCTGTGCTCTAACCGCAATGGCGTTTATGGTCTAATGCTATGTCAAGGTGTCTAAATACGCAGAAAATGATTGTCCCCCTGCTATTCAATTTAAAAAAAACCCTGATTTCCATTACTTAAATTAAAATATGTACGAAAACACGAATATTTAAAAATTAAATTTATTTGTTATGTAAAAATTATTTAGGGGAAAAATTTTTAATTTTATGTTGATAATTGTTTTTTTAATGATGAAAAAAAAATATTTTTATATTTTGGGAATTTTCCGATCCGTTCAAGCGAGTGTGGTTATCAGTTTGGTTATAAGATCCGTGACGTCATGAATCAGCTGTTATATGTCATAGTTATCACCGCAAAATTGTGGTATTTACCCAACTCGGGAGTAGTTTTATATTTCTGGTTATTTGAAATGTGACAAGTTGGAATTTTGCCGGGTATTGGATGTTGTTATTGTACTTCAGCTTCATTTTTGGGAAACTTGATACAGGCCGACTTCAGTTTTACCATAAAGTGGAGCACCTTTTTAGTTATACTCATTACTGTTATTGGGGACACTTTAAATGTAGTTCCTATGCGTAACAAAGTATCCTGTGTAGCCATATACCACAAGAATATTAAAATATGTCCAACTAAAATCACTAGATGATGTCCACCTGTATACGGTTTTGCTAATATCTTTTTTCATCATTTCTGCTGAATCAATAAATATTTTCTTTGACATGCGGAAAACTTTAGAGAATTGAAAGTTATCATACCTACAAAGCCATGGTTCCATCAAAAAAAATTTCTGAAAAAAACATTTCTCCCATGAATATTATGAAAGGTTTCTTTTTTACACTTTCCATACACAGTTGCAGACGAAAAAGCACCGATTATTAAGTGATAATAAAAATAATCAGAGATTATATACGCGCTTCTCTAAAATAAACAACTTGCAACAAAACCGCGGTTAAAACCAACGCGTTCAAGCGATTCGTGTAACTGACATCATCAACCCGTCTGTCATCTTGAACCATATTATAACCGCGGCTCATAACAGAAATTTTGGTTATTTGCTTGGATTTGATTATAGCCTAGTGATAACTGCTGTCAAACCGACAAAGCTATCCTATGGCCACTGTCATTCAGCATAAAAGGTCTGCACTTCTGGACAGCTTCACCTTGGCTGAACGTACCCTTTTTGTTGAAGAAAATCAAACGACAAGCATTAATTGAGTGATCCCGGATCCCGGTATGAATGGATGAAACAAATTACAAATATGGCAAATTATAAAGAAGATGTCGCAATATAGAGTCACTCTACTTAATGCGAGTTATTCAATCTATATACGCTCATTTTGTACTTACACTTAATTTGAAATTACTAATTATTATCATGCATATTTATTCATATTTGTAGGATTCTAGGGCTTTTTTAAAATTATATCTAGAGCCCTATATCTACAGCGAGAGCGTAGCAGCTGGCAACGCCGCGCGGAAGCCGTTCGTGTACCTTCGCGACCGCCGAACGCCCTTCGGCACGGCGTCGCGTGTTTTCAAACAAACCGGCGGCAGTCCAGCGCGAATCGTCTGTTTCGAAGGTGGAGTATCGTCTCAGCGCGTTGGAAAACGAGACCCGCGTGTTTGTGAGTGCGCCCCATAATATGGAAGAAGAGCTGTGTTGTCCGGCGTGCAAGCAGTTGTACGCCCAGCCCGTGCTGCTGCCTTGCAGCCACAGCTTGTGCTTGCATTGCGCCTTGCACCAGCAGCAACCCCCAACAACCAACCACCAAACGGCCGCCCCCGCCGGGGCGGCACAACCGATTGCCCAGGGGGCTGCTACTGCTGAAAACGCGGAAAGTGTCGCATCCGGCAGTTCCGGGGATTATCAGGAGAGCGACAAGTTGTCCGTGCTCAGCGAGGCCGACAGTGGAGTTGTCTGCACTTCTAGGCCTAATAGTTACGTAGGCACTCCGAACGGACTTCTATATCCAAGGTAGTTAGTTATGGAAAAATCGAGTTTCTACATGCAAAAATAATTATTATTGCTATTTTGTTTTTCAAACAAATATTCTAGAATTATTTTCAGAACTGTCACTTGACATCCAAACATGACATTTTTCATTTGTTTTGACTACCTGCATTACCTACTTGATTTTTGAACTGTGGAAAAATAATTTCATAATGTTCTTTGTTGGAAATCCTACTGGACAGTTCGGAGGTTTTAGGGCCGTATCGTCAGTCATTCCTACAATAATTGTAGGTCGCCTTTATCCTTTATGGGCTTCCTTGATTTTCGTAGTCTTGTCTCGCCTTCAGGAAGGCTGGGATATTTCTAGTTTTCAACTGTTCTGTGTCAGCGTCAGCGCTCTCCTATTGTAATGTTAAGTTTTCTTTTTGAATTGTAGGAAATTTCAGACTGATAAAACACATGATAAAAATCTAAACCATGAACAATTTGATGCAAATAGATATGTAACATAACCTCAAAATAGAGTGCAGGAAAAGCTAAGAAAATCAAGGAGGCGTCCTACAATTGTACTGTACTGACGATACGGCCTGGTAGAATTTTGCTTATTCCTCTGTTTATATTAATAATACCGAGCAGAGTGAATAAAATCTTTATATTTATTTTTTCAGACGTAATTATGTTTACAGTCTCGTTTTCACATTTTAGAGGGAGCATAATATGTGATGGTTCTGTTCCGCATTGCCCTATAATTTTAGTAACCGATATTGACGTTTCGAAGGCCCTAAATGAAGAATAACATAATACAATGTTATTGCTAGATTTTTTGAATGCTTTAAACGTTTTTTCGGGTACCAGGAATGATCAGAAAACTTTTTAAGGTCGCATACCCCTTTTTTAAAAAAGTTTCTTTGAAGGGGTATTCTTAATACTTTTCGTCTGATGATCGATTCTTTCATGGTGTCTATAGAGATGACTGAAAACCAATATTTTATTTCCTTGGTAAAAAATGCATTTTTGGTGCATTCTTTATGCATTTTTCTACAATTGTGACTTGTTTTAATAAATAGTGGTACAGCTCGGAAATTGTTTGACGAATATTCCACTTTTATAGTATATTAGTTTTATCTTTTTTTCTCCCAAAAATCTTAAAAAGTCGTTTGCAGAGAACTGAGTTGTTAAAAAAACAAAGATTTAAAAAAAATAGTAGTAAAAGTAATTACCCGCTCTAATCTACTAGAAAAGTGAAATATTCTCAATTTCATAGCTGTACTATTATTTGTTTATATATAATATATTTAATACCTCATAAAGAGTTGCTTTATAGGTTTTTGTCTAGGTGCAATATATACCGTTCGCACATGGACGGGCACACTCTGTATATAAAAATCAACATCGCACAAAAGAGAAACACCGCGTCCTAACTACTGGCTGTCGATATTTGCACCAGATCTCGGCATATACGAGCCCCTTCCCACTTCAGTTGGCCCATTTCAAGATTTGTACCAAAATATGCCTTTATAAACTAAACATGACAAAACTATTTACTTCTAAAACAATTTATTTTCTCAAAAACATTTTAGATACACTCTAGTCGTAAAAAATACATATTTGAAATCACTTAGACCTATAACTAATAGAACATCTGAACAAATAAACAATGTGCGAATAAATGCGCGAAGTTAACAAAGCAACAATTGAAAGATTACCATTGGGTAACATTACGTTTATTTTTTATTACGGCTGAAATTCTTTGGGGCATAGTGTTAACCAAGTTTTGACAAAAATTTGGTTTTAAACAATCCCATATTTCTTGAAGCTTTTGTCTCAGTTCGGTGATTGTACGAGCAGGATATTGTCGTAGAACCTTTTTCATCTCGTGCCACAAAGTTTCAATAGGTGACAGATCTGGACTGCTAGAAACCCATTTCAAAAGTGGTACATTATTTTCTTCCATCCATTTTATAGCCTTTTTTGAGGGATGACACGCTGCACCATCTTGCTGAAACACAAAATGTTGGCCGGATGTCAAACATTCTTCCACCACTGGTAAAAGCGATTCTTCTAAAATTGCCAAATATTTGTTTGTATCCACATTTCCATCAATAAAATGAAGTTTTCCTACTCCTTTTGATGACATACTACCCCAGATCATAATGGATGCTGGAAATTTAACTTTTCTCTTCAGACAGTCAACATGGAATGCTTCATTTTTTTGCGAATAACTCTACTGCGACTGTCACCAACACAAACTTCGAATCGGGCCTCATCACTCCATTGTATTGCACAACATTGTTGAGGTGTCCATTGTCTATGTTCTTTAGCCCATCTAAGCCGATTTTTCTTTTGCAGTGGAGTTAATAGTGTCTTTTCTTTGGCCTATAAACAAGTTGTGTAACTTTAGGGTTTTTACTTCACTTTTTTTTATAAGAAAACTTACCTTGCAAGTGCTAAATCCCAGTTTGTGGGCCTCTCTATGAGATTCTCCTTCCAACAGCGTCACTCCACAGAGCACTTAATTGTAAATAATTGACACGCCTGTTTTTCACGATTATTCTTCTTAATGCTCTTCGGTCAGCATTTGTGATACTACTTTTTTTCACATATCGTGGCTTAATATTAACTGAACCAGTTACGTTATATCTTCTAACAATATTTCTCACACTGTACCGCGATACGTCTAACAAAGTTGCAATTTCTGAGTTTGATTTCCCAGAAATAAAAAAAATTAATTATCAGTTACCGAAATTTCTCACTAATAACCTTTCCTCTACCCATTTTGAAAACCTTAACCACCCAAAACTATTTTAAAGGTATTCTGACAGCTGTGAGTAATAAAAACAATTGTCATGGCTTTTAATTTTTCTCAGCCACCTATGCGTTATAGACTTATTTTGCATTGAAATGAAAATAGGTTGATATGCTGTAATTGCAACATGTGTTATTTTTATGCTGCAAATTTGATTAGGGAGTGATAAAGTTGGTGTTTTCTACTATATATTATCGATATATTCATTGTTAATATTTTAAACCTATAACACCCTGCTGCATTTTTATTATTTGTGTTTGATAAGAAAAAAACTAAGATTTCAATAGTTGGTCCAACTGAAGTGGGAAGGGGCTCGTAGTATAATGTTCCAGCGACTTATTAGATTCAATTTGGTTTCCACATTTCGAAGGACAGTGTATGGGTTGTCCTTTTCCTTGATCTCCTGCAATGCTGCACCACTGATTCTGAGTTGCATTAAATAAGCTGATGACATATTCACTCCAAGTTTCCGCCCACAAAATGTATGGGATTCTGTATGTCACTGTAGCAGAGACTGCAATTTCACCGAATGCTCACTCGAAAGCCTGCTTGAGAGGTGCGACATTAGAACTTCGCAGACGTACGGGCAACTTCTCTGTCGGTAACTTCTCAATTATGAGTGATTTTCGGTAAATCAGTGCTGATATGAATAGCAATTAATGTTCATTACGATCAGGCCCAAATGGATGTGCAATAAAATATCAAACCAGATGTTACAAGTGGTAGAGATTAAAAAGTAGAGTTTATAGATAATTAACATAGTATTACCATTCTTCGATTAGGTAGTTCGTAGGGCCTATGATTGCATGAAGGAAGAGATAAGTGATATCGGAAATTATTATTGTCATTTAAATGGATACCTCAATGTCATATCAATCAATAGATATGAAGTTTTATTATATTTAATCTTATTTTAAAACAACTAAGTCTTTTATTTGGTCACCCAATGGCAGCGATTTATTTTAAATACAAGTTTTTGAAATAATCCTCAAAACGTCAGTCCTTTGGCATGTCACAACCCCAAAAACGTGCAATCAAGTGGCCGTCTATTAAACATTATCACTAATTTAAGAAAACTTGCTATTCCACTACAATCTGTGATGTGTTATAATAGATAACCTATATTATGGCAGATAAGATTTAACTTGCAATACGCCCACTCATCTTTTCCACTGCCGCCTGAAATAGGTACACATTTAGTAATAATACGAGGGGTTCTAGAAAAGAAGTATACCTAGCGATGAAATAAAAGACGTACGATTTTTTTATAAAAAATGTTTCCGTGACTCTTAAAACAGTCGTCGACTGCTAATTTGAGGCCATCATCTGAGTCAAAACGGCGAACTCGAAGATTTTTCTAGAGACATAAATGTCAGACGGAGCCAAGTCTGGAGGATGGCCTACGTCAAGGAAGCTGCATTCCTGCACAATTGGTCTCATTTTGGCAGAATTATGCACGGTCCCAGTAATGCAGCAGAAATACTTCTCGATTTGAAAAATCGATTTTTTTCTGGTTGATTGCTTTACGTAACTTTTTCAGAGTGACGTCCGCATTTCCTGTTGTTCCTTTTGTCATATATTCAATGAGAAGGTTGTTCCTGATGTCCCATAAAACTATTGCCATCAATTTTCCAGTAGAGGCTTGCCTTTTTGGGGACCCTTTATGAACCCACTGCTTGGATTGGTCAAAGTTTCCAAATGACCTAAAATTTCCAACCTGCGCAATTTTGGTTCGCCGATCTTCGAGAATCATGGCTTCAACTTTTTGAGCCATTTCATTTGTTGCTGTTTTGGGTCTTATGTTTCTGGGATCGCCTTGTATGGGTTCACGCCCCCATCGAAACTGTTTCGACCAAAATTTTATTGTGTAGTATGATGGTGCATCGTCACCATAATCACCCATTCAACAACCATTCTTCCAAGAATTGTTTTCGGCTGATGGCCCTCTGTTATCAGAGATTTTATGTCGCCTAGATACTCTAATTTTAAGTTACCCATTTTTTCCACAATTCACATCATAAATTGGAAGCTAATTATCAAAATTAACTCCAATTTTATCAGGGTTGTTATGTTTTAATCAAAATGTTTAAAATAAGTGTTTCTGTTTAAAACAATGAAGGTGTTTTAAACCAATTTGTTTTAAACTGTTTAAAACATGTTTTAAACACTATTTTTTTATAGTTTGTGAATTATTCAAGTTTTTTTTTAATATGATTAA